AGAGTGTCTAAAAATTTATTTTAAATAATTATTAGCTTCAAACGGCAATAACTTCTTTAATTTAAATGGAATGCCCTGTATATTTTAGGAGAATCAGATCATAGATTTAGTAAGAACAGATATCACATTAGACATTTTAACCCGATCAAACAATCGGAGGTTGACTACGTACTGTAAAAATCAACTGAGATAGAGAAGGCGACATTGCCGCATCTCAAATTTGCGCCTATCTCCTCAGTTTGATTTGCAGAAAAGGTGACTTTAAAACCTTCACCGGATATCAATAAATCTCAATTTCTTAATTAAATTAATAGTTTATTTTTAAAGAAGCATGCGGAATAATATGTTATTAACCAGAGGATATATGCGTTACTATTAAAGGACATTTTTACTGTTTAATGTGCTGAAACGTCTAGAACTATTGGCAACGTCGCTGCTAGTCTTCCAGAATGAAATGAGCCGTCCGTCCCACCACCCCTCGCGACGGCCCTTGGTCCGTTATAGCGTACTACGTTTAGCTTGCGGTGTGTTTGAAGTCGGAATCAAGACGAAAGTGAACTTTCAGTGTTTTTCGGTGGTTTTTGTTTTTGTTTAACGTACTTTTGAATCTGCGAATTCAGTATGGTACGACAGTGTCAAGTGTGTGGAAAAATAAGCTCAAATTACCCGAATTTGTCTTTTCACAGGTGGGTATTGTTTTCGTCATTGTACATAGGCGTCCCACAAGGGAGCCTCTCACAATCAAAATAATTTCTAATTATATTTGTAATAATTAATCTATTAAAACAAGAACGTAGTAGCCAGTAATTGAATTATAATTCGTCCCAATGACTGTTGTAGATCATAACAAATTTGAATATAAACGTTGCATTTGAAATTTTATTATAAGCCAGAAAGTGACATTTTTTTCTTAAAATTGCGTCATTTCTGGTCATTATATACGATATTCTAAAGGAATTTTGCTCAACAAATAAACAAAGGTGTTACCCGACCTTTTTTACATTTTATTGCTTTATTATATCTGCCCCTTCGGCCTTGTTTAGACAAGTCTGTTGAACTTAATGCAGAGAATAAGCATATATGTAGGGGTTAGGCCTTAATAATTTTTTGCTTCTTGTATTTTGTTTATTTATACATACCCTACCAAGCCTTGAGCTCCATCTACGGTAACGTAGATGAAGCAAACGTAATTCATTATTATGCGACAGAAATCCCATACTGTAGCACACATGTTTGATACTTTTAATGAATCAATTTTCAATTTTCTCATTAAATATTGATTTTAGGTATAGGAAGTTATTAATAATACAAGATTAAACAACTATTACACAGTACTTGGCAGGAAGCTATCGATTGCGAACTAAATCGTTACTAATTACTAATTTTGAAGTTCTTTTTAAGATCAAAAATGGTAAAACTAAAACCTAAACTATCATTCGAAATAATGTTGCCTATTCTAAACAAGAAAAATTTATTTATAAGTTTTATAACATCTCTAATTAAATTTGGACGCAAAGAATATTTCTGTTTGCTGTAGGTAATTTTCTCAGGGAAAATACGAAAATAAAATGACTTTTAAGTCAAAAAAGTCAAAAGGACAAGTTATTCCAAAAAGGACTGTCCTTTTCAAAAGGACAGGTGGCAACCCTAGGTATTTCTGGAATGGAAATTTAATGGCAAATCTACAACTTTAGTTTGAAAATATGTTCCGGCCACCTATGTTTACAAAATGTCTAAAATGTGCTTTACCATTGCCTCCATATTCTGAAAAAAATTGAAAGAAATATCACCAACCACAAACCTAATATAGAACTGTTTCGGAAGCCTGAGTCACCCTGTGAATATTCAAACGTAACTGAAAGTTTATATAGAACTAACAGAAAGTTTAAATTGAAAATCGACGTTGGAGCGATTTTCGAAAACCACCTACTAACGTTTCAACATAGGTATATGTGGGATATTAATTATAGTATTATATTAGACCTTATAACAAAACTCATCTGACGAAAAAGTGTTAATATAGTATATCAATATGGAGTATAAATTTTACTAATTAATTTACTTTTACTTTACTAATTAAATGCTTTCCAAAAAACGATACGCCACTGGCCATTAGAACAATCGAAATGCTCCTAGTTGCCGGGGTCGGAAATTTTAGACTTCTCTGTCTCTTCTGTCCTTGTTTGATACATTGGAATGTTTGATACACTACCAACGAGTATTTATGAATGAGATGTTCGGTCTATCTTTATAATGTCTTTGAATCAGATGCACAATTAAATTGTCTATCAAATTGTATTATACCATTTTTTACCTATCCCTTCAAGTTTTCGTAGAAAATGCATTTTCTTATAATTTAGACCTCATTTATCAATATATCCATGGAATATTGATTAATTAATTACATTTTAGATTGTTTTTAAAGCAACAAATGTACAAAATGTACAGACTAGTAATATTATCGTTTTTAGCAAAACGATAATAGTAGCCCATTTGTATGCAAAAAGAAAACTATTTAAATCTTTATAAAAGAGTATACCATTAATTAAATATAACACCATTATTTCCGCCCATATACTAATTAATTACATACTTAATTGTGTTCGTTAATAAATTATTATAAATAAATGTGGATTTGAGTCAGAAATCAATATAATAATAAGTTATCAAATTAAAGTCTCTGTTGTTATAAATAAGCATTTATTAAAAAATGAAATATCATTTTTAAGGTGTTACTTTTTATCGCCCATACAAAATTCAGTTTTTTAGTATTTGGAGCAATTATTATTAATCAACGCAAACAGTCAGTTAATGTAGTTTGAATACTGGAATCATATTAATTGGTCCTCTTTAATAAATATTTTAACAGTTTTTTTTAATTTTTTAATGAAATAAACGAATTATATCGACAATATTAGTATCTGTACTCTTTAAAAATTTGGTACATCTTTAAAAATAATCTAAAATGTCAATAGTCCATGGGTATATTGATAAATAAGTTCTAAATTACAAGAAAATGCATTTTCTACGGAAACTTAAAGAGATAGGTAAAAATGGTATAATATAATTTGATAGACAATTAAATTGTGCATCTGATTCTCGTAAAATATACAGGGTGTTCCATTTAAATTAAACAAGTTATTGCCGTTTGAAGCTAATAATTATTTAAAATAAATTTTTAGGCACTCTGTATAAGGTAGTATTATTTTTATTATTGCAACACAATAACTGATCAGTAAATAAACTTCAGTAAATATTTAGTATTAAAAACTTTGATACCCTTGGAGAAATGAAGCCTTAAAATTTTTACTGCAATTTCACAAAATTGAAAATATTTCAAAAACGGTAAGGTTTAAGTATAATAAATCTTAATCAAATTTACCTTTATTTTAATCGTAGAAACTAAAAATGTAATAATATACAGGGTGTTCCATTTAAAAAAATACAACTTTGATCTTTTTTACTTATTTGGGACACTCTGTATCTTGTAAAATTATTTTTAAATTGTACCTCTAATAGTCCTTCATCCAACCCAAAACTTACAATTTGTAAAAACCTCATCGTTTAGCTACAATACTCCGTGTCGTATGTGGTGAACAACCCTGTATATTAACCATAACTTATTTTATTAGATAAGGGAATATGGGCTTACACTTTATTACGGCAAGTATTTTAATTACACATACTTGCCTAATTTTAATGTTGTAATTATTGGATTTTTTATAACTCACCTTGCACTCAGTTCAAAAAATATGTGTTTTTAATGCGCACTCGGTATATTTTCGGTCCTTTGAGGTTATTAGTTAAATTTTTATAATATTCTGTTTAGGTAAATACTTTCTGATCTTAAGGCTGACTTTTTACTATATATATTTCTTTCGCTAGATTCGTTAACGCTATTTTTAATACGATTTAGTTCCTTAAACAAAGTGTTACACGCATAACTTAAAAATTACTCAAGGTGCGAAAAAAACGTGTTCATATTTATGCATTAGATTTAGAAATAAAAATATAGAGTGAATTTTTTAATATAAATATATATCCTTATAATACTAATTATAACATTAAGGGCTATAAATAATTATGGGATATTAGAACCGCATAATAAATAAGCTCCTTTAAAATGTATCAAGGATATTTTTGTTGTCGAAGCATTTAGGGAAAAATATTTTTATACACTATGTCTCATAGCTAATAAATAATAATTATTATAGTTACCTATCACAGGTAATATCTCATGTATATAATATTATCTTCTACTTTCATTTATCATATTTATTGAGTGTTTTATTATTATTAAGTAATGCTCTATACTCCGGGACACTGATGAGACATCCTGTATAATTTTGATCTGCAGACTGTTTATTTCATAATACACTAAATGTATTAAATAATGGAGATGCAAGGTTGGTTATTGCCATATGGGGAACATTAAAGTGACTTTTCAATGTGTTTAAAAAAATTAGCTTCAAATTGGTAAACATTTTTCGATGTGTTTTTTATCTGTTCACTGCTATATTAATGAAAAAGAAGGCAGGGTATAATGAGATCTACGAATTTTGATCTTTGGTATCATGCTGTATATAAATGTAGCTAACATTTTTAAATACATTGTTAATTTGTAATATTATATATTTTTTTGTATGTTGATTATTGTAAGTAATCAATTGTCCAAATGTAAAAGAATTATTTATAGCTTACAAATTAAATAGTGCTGTTGCATCTATTTATTTTTTCATGTTTTTGCTAGATAATGTTTGAGTTTCTGTTTTCACTTTGTTTTGTCGATTCGTTTGTGTTAAAGTTATTACTCGTATACATTAAATTAGTAATAAAAATGTAATAACTTTTCTACACCGGAAATTTTTTGGTTGCAAAAAGTAGAAATTAGTGCAATAGGTTTTTTACCCTTCCATAGGTTTAAAATCTAACGTCTGCTATAAATTGTAACAATATTTTTTAAGGTTAAAAATAAGCCACATGTTTGTAATAAAATTAAATTTTTAAAATACAATTTGTATGGTTTTATTTTATGATACATTATGTACAAATTTATTATTTGTTTCCTTTTCATAATCGTCCTTAAATACGTACCATTTTTCCTTGTTTAGAAGGAAAAGTATCATGAGAAGTGGTAAATGTATTAAAGAGTACCTAAATAATTTTCTAGATGATGCACTCGAAGAATCTTTGTAAAATTGATATCCTAGAGAAATTAGCATGATTATAATATCAAATATATATTTTCTAGTTACTTACCTAAGTAAATAAAATACAGGTTTAATGGAGTACACTCCAATAAAAACCACCAATTAGTCACATCTAATATTGGCGCTAAACAACTTAAACACTGAATGGCAACAGTATGTCTTAAAGCTACACGTCTGCACAAAGCGGGATCTGTTACGGCCATCATCCTGTAACCTGCTCTGGAATAGTCTGAACGTAGATTCCATGATAACGCATTAAAATGAGGAAATTGCCAGCTATACAATAGGGCGGCCATAAGAAAAGCACCTGGACCTAGAGAATTTGCACACGCAGCCCAGCCCATTAAAGGGGGTATTGCACCTACTAAAAATAAATATTTTTATATCACTTTTTGAAATTAATGAGTAAACCACAATTTAGGGTTCGAACACACTGGCGACCAGGTCGCTGCTATAGTCTGTAAAACGAATAACTTTGAATTTGACAGTTCCCGCGGGCTTTTCTAGTGTTAGTTTTATTAGGTTAGCAACTTGCAGGCCATGCTGATGCAATGCCGTCTCTAATAGAACAGCCTCGGAGCGAGATTTCTGACGTCACGCTAGTTAGATACTACGGATTAATTATGTTGTAGAATACATGGAAAACATTCCTCGTATATGTAATTTTTTGGATTATATTCGACACATTTACATTCGACATTTTTTTCATATGACACAGCGCCGATGAAGGCTATAAACGTTAGCTATAATGTTTTTTTAAACCAAAAAAAATAATAATGAAAAACCAAATGCAAACTTAATCAGCGTTTTTCCCGAACCTAAATCCCAAAAAATCAAAAATTTTAGAATAATTTTACATATAAAATGACAGCGATCTTCATTTCATAGCCATCGCTGACGCCTTTTTTTCTATGATATTGTATTATTTGCAAATATAATTTTTGGCACATTGATGCTTGCAAAATATTATAATAACTAATAATAAATATTAATTATAATATTTTATGAATGCAAATAATAATACATCACTATTAGTAGATATTGAATGTTTTTTGTTAAATTAGATCGATTTTCAAACCCCAAAATTTAAAATATATTTTACATTTTACCTATTATCTTATGTACCTATTCATTATTTGTATATTGTAAAACATTTGATGCATTTGTATGGTTCATAGTTTATTTGCCAAAGTATTTATTACTATAAATAGGTATATATATTGTATTTATTAACTGTATATTATGTATAGTTCATGTAAACTATATCATTTTTAAAATGCAAACCAAAAATACGAGGAATAATTATGTTTTCCGTGTATTCTACAACATATTTTTTATTAATCCGTGGTATCTAACTAGCGTGACGTCATAAATCTCACTTCAAGGCTGTTCTATTAGAGACGGCATTGATCTGATATTTAGAAATGTCAAAGGCTGATGACATTTTACTTTTGTCAATTATGACATTTCGCGTTGATTTTTGCAAGAAGAGGAAGAACTGTCACTTGTTTTATAATTTTCCTTTTCTATTTCACGAAAGTAAAAAGAGTTACCTATCTGATTCGTTCAGGCACTCATTTTAAAGAATATCGGTAACTTTTTGGACAGAGGGCTTTTATATTTGCCATGTTGGTAAAAAATAACGGTCAAAATTCAAAGTTATTCATTTTATAGACTATACCTCTAAACCATTAAATCAAATGATACCGCGCACACTAACGTCCTGGCCGTCCGTTGGTCGTGGCAATTATAATTTTCTGCCGCTTGTTGCCAGTTTTCTTCCAAATTAATAATTTTTGAAATGAAATCCCTCAAATTCAACGCACAATATTTTATTTTCTCTAAGATATAGTGTTTTAGTGTAGTTTTTGCACACGTGCAGAAAATCCAAAGAAATAGTATACAGACTGGATCAAAGGGAAACTTAAATCTAGTCCCTTTTTTATCAAGGGTCGATTCTAGTAAAAATTCAAAATATTTTTATATGACATACTCTATTTATGGTTGGTATGATACCTGTTATTATACCTTCGAGTTTTTCTACAACCACTTGTTTTTTTTATTAAGTTATTTTTTTTTAGTTGTATTGTAGTCATGTACAAGGAGGACAACTGTATTTTAAATATTATATTTAATTTAACGTTTTTCAAACAGACTATATTTCTACTAGGTACATTATTTTTTTAAAAAATTAAGAGTAAAAGTAACTTAAACATTCATAAAAATAGAAGTATTTACTGTTGTAGATTCTCAGTAACAATAAAAAAGAGGAATTTATATTGTAAACATTGAAATAACTGGACGCTAAACTTTCTACCTGCTTATATTTAGAGCCAGTGTCTGACGACCTTTTTTTACGATGGCCCTAATATGTTTACTTCTAAAGTCGATAAGAGCCATCAGTAGAAGTCCGTATCCGTAGAAGAAAGAAACAGAATATCTCTCTTTTTGTCGGTCGCGCGTACACAATGCTTTTTGTTCAGCCTATTTGTTCTACTTGTTCGTGCGCGCTCGGTTCGTTCGGGCTAAAATGCTCAAGTCTGGACGCACCTTTAGGAACAATACTGTTTTTGTCCTTTATTGATATAATGCTGAAAATCTCACGAGTTACATGTCTCACTCTACACATATTAAATTACATAGACGTAGGATGTAGAATATTCTGTTATGAAACGACTGATGGAATAACGACGTTCTCGTATAGTCGGGGTTGGAGATTTTACTTACTCCATTTACCACACCAGTATTTATTAACGAAAAATCCAAGAATATTTTAAATGCATTATTTAATATTAGAACATTTAATAAGCTCATGAATAGCAACTTCGCTTTTTAGTTAACTCGGATATTTTAACATTTCTGAAACAATATTTTCTAATTGGTAAAACGTAAAAAAACATTAGATCTGACAACTCTGTTGAAACTGGTCGTTCATCTGGCCGCAGCTATAAGGGCTCGAACTCACTGACGACCAGGTCGCAACGACCTGGCCGTCGGCTGGCCGGATGTATTGCGTTTTTAGCTGCGGCCAGATGAACGACCAGTTTCAACAGAGTTGTCAAATCTAACGGTTTTTTACGTTTTACCAATTAGAAAGTATTGTTTCAGAAATGTTAAAATATCCGAGTTCACTAAAAAGCGAAGTTGCTATTAACAACAAACAAAAAGTATTGTGTACGCGCGACCGACAAAAAGGGAGATATTCTGTTTCTTTTTTCTACTGATATGGCGCCCTTATCGACTTTAGAAGTAAACATATTAGGGCCATCGTAAAAAAAGATCGTCAGACACTGGCTCTAAATATAAGCAGGTAGAAAGTTCAGCTTCCAGTTATTTCAATGTTTACAATATAACGAAGAATCTACAACAGTAATTACTTCTATTTTTATGAATGTTTAAGTTACTTTCTTAATTTTTTTTTTCAAAATAATGTACCTAGTAGAAATATAGTTTAATGAACCCTGTTTGAAAAACGTTAAATTAAATATAATATTTAAAATACAGTTGTCCTCCTTGTACAAGACTACAATACAACTAAAAAAACTAATTTAATAAAAAAAACAAGTGATTGTAGAAAAACTTTAAATATTATTTTTTTTATTTTTTAACATCGAAACTCAAAGGTATAATAACAGGTATCATACCAACCATAAATCATAAATAGAGTAGGTATGTCATATAAAAATGTTTTGAGTTTTTACTAGAATCGACCCTTGATAAAAAAAGAGGGATTAGATTTAATTTTACCTTTGATCCAGTCTGTATACTATTTCTTTGGATTTTCTGCACGTGTGTAAAAACTACACTAAAACAATATATCTTATAGAAAATAAAATATTGTGCCTTGAATTTGAGGGATTTCATCTGAAAATTATTAATTTGGAAGAAAACCGGCAACAAGCGGCAGAAAATAATAATATTTCCGTGCAGTCTTCTGGTCGCAACGACCAACGGACGGCCAGGACGTTAGTGTGCGCTATATCATTTGATTTAATGATTTTAGAGGTAGCTGCGGCCTGGCCGGTGCGACCTGGTCGTCAGTGTGTTCGAGCCCTAAACGCAATACATCCGGCCAGCTGAGTTAGAGCCCTTACCTATTGAACCAACCCAAGTATTTAGAATGCTAATTCTTTTTAATGGTGTGTAAATTGAAGTATAAATAAATAGATTTGCAAATCCTAATAAAGCAGTAAGTCCATTCACACCATAATAAAGTATACTAAGTCCACTTGCACTAGCAGCGCAGGCAAATAAAATTGAATGGAGAGGTCTAAAACAGTTTAGTCCTTTGAAAGATACAAATACTTTTATAAAATGTCACTTACGTTAGTCGTCCACAAACTAAAACTCTATGCTTTGTTCTGGACATCTGTGCATCGAAAGGTACTTCGTGAAATTGGTTAACGGCATTAGCTGCACCAGAGAGCAGACCTGTGCCTGCAATGCTTAAAGCAAAAGTAGTCCACTCGAAGGGAGCAGGAGCTACAGCATATCCTGCCATTGAGGTGACCACAACAAGTGCTAAAATTTTTTGTTTACTGAGATAAAACTGAAAACAACTATCTATATCTATTTACCTGTTAGTCTGACCTTGGACAATTTCAGATAATGCTGAATTAAATTTGTTCGATCTGTAGAAGGTGTCGGTCTCCATGCTGGTTCGATTTTAGGTTTATCAGGTAGAGAATCTGCTAGACTCACATCCGCAGTAGAATTATTGCTCGACTGATGGACATAAAATAAAGCCGGCGGCGGCGTTTGGGTATTGACTTTGATCTAGAATTATACAATATATTAGATTCATAACTTCTTAGGAACAAAATTTCTTGCCTTTGACAAAAATAAAATATTTTGTAAATGTATACCCCCTGAAACAATATTGTGCCTTAGTAGTTTAGATTGTAGCTGAATTAACTTTGACATTATCTTATTGCAATCATATTTTAATCAATTTTAAACTTTATATAATTCAATTCAGTTTTGTTTTGAAGTGAAAAAAATAGGTTATAGGCAGAGAAATAGAAGGGATAGAGAATGAGCTTCAACATGCGCGGAAGGTCTAATCAAGTTGGGCGCCATATTCCAGGTCTTCCTGTGATTCCTGTCATTTTGTATATGAGTGGTAATCTATAAGTTCTATAAGTAATCAAATATCAATTTGCTGTTTTCAACCATACGGGGGGCAATTTACATTTAGTGAAATTATATCATTTATTATGGTTAGTTAACATTAATATGATTTATTTAATTATCAGTTTCAAAACTGCGTACAATATTGGTATATAATACACTAAATATACGAATATTCTGACAAAAGACGCTCGGACAGATGACCTTTTCGTCGTAAAACACTCGAAATGATATTAAATAAGTATTTACAATATTTCATGTTTACTTGTACTGAATTACGCGTTTCAATTTAAAATTTTTGCAAATTTGGTAAAAATTGTTCTAAACAACTTTTTGTTCAAGTTGTATATTCATAAAAAACATTTGGTTCATAATTATTTTTGATGATTATCTACCTTGTATTTTTAATATAAACCTAGAAAAAATATGTTTTTGTTTTATTTTTTTTATTCGTCCCTTCAAATTATGTTTCAAAAACTGTTACATAACATGTCCTCTAACAAATATTTTCATAATACATAAACATCATTGATTTTATTAAGGGTATTATTATTAGTATTTATCCTGGTTTTTGTCGACAATAAAAACTCAATCTTGTAATAGAACATCAATTTTATATTTCGTAAAATTATTTTGATACAAATTCGATTTGTCAAAATTCAAGTCATTAATATATTGATAAACAACCCAAATTATTCCTAAATATTTTATTATAAACAAAAACTGTTACCGGTAAGTTTGTAAAACACATTATGGTTTGTCGTAATACTAGAAAAAATCATTTATTTTTTGCACAAAAGAAGCTTGTCGATCCTTATTTGTCCATAACAAAATTCTGTATGTACATATACCTAATTTATTATTAAGAAAATTAGATTATATGATCTCAGAATTTTAAGAAATTTTTTTTTAAGATAAAATAGTTTCTTCTCAACTGTAATATTGTCAACTTTGGCCTGTATTTTATCTATTTAAAAACATGGGATTGACAATCCCCTTACTAAAATACATACTGGAAGGTACCGATTAAGTTTCATTGCATCAAATACCTTTACTATAAATCCTGGCTCACAACTCACAATTTAAGGCCATTGCAAAATGCTTTTGAACTTCATCATAGATTTTACAAGAATAAAAGTGTAATATTGAAACAAAGTAACACTGTAAGCTTCATGACTAATAGTCTCATTTTTAACACTCTTTAAATATCATCTCGTTAACAATTATGAATATTATATGATTTTTCTCAGTGATTTGTGGCACAGATACAAATTAATATATGCCCCATAACAGTTTTTAAATAAGAAACTTCTGCCTACAGATTTAATTTTCTTATTGGCATAATACCCTTTCTTCCTATATAAATCTTGCCATTTTTTCAGTCCAATGTTCCTTATTTTTACAGTTGTAGGAATACTAAAAATGTTGACTATAGAACTTGATACTATGTTTGAAAAAGCCTTCATACCTGTAACTGTGCATAAATCTAATTAACTGAATTCTCCTCTTGACACTCTGAACACTGCTGCTGCTAATGTTAGAAATATTTAGCACAAAACTACAACTACCTACAACAAACTTTACAATGAAAATGTTAAATTTCCGCTGTTCGATTAAAATACCCTATCTTATGTTTTCTTTTCCTCCAAATAATCTTCTTGTCAAGTAAGGACCAATCTTATTTGACATATTTCTGGTACACTTGAACTTGTGCTTTCATGGACACTATAAGAGTGCACTGTTTTACAGAAGCACGAACATTGATTCCAAGTATCTTCTTCCTCCACACGTAATAAAAACATCCTCTTTAAATGGCCACATCATACACTTATTTTTGACCATTCCCAATTACAATCACGATTTTTACAAATCGCCTTTAGGAAAACTAAAAATAAACAGTTTTGGATCATCTGTAAACACGATTATGTTGTATAAACTTACACATGAAAACTAATCGTTTTTCCCGGCGTATTAGCTTTCTTAGAATAACTATGACAATATACAACAAGCCTTTTTGAATTAGTGTTTAGAATAATTGAGATAATAATAAATTTTAACTAGATAACAACACAAACGAAAAAAAAAACAAAACCAACAGATGTCAATTAAAGAGGGGAAGTGACAGCGAGACCTGGAAGATGTCTGCCATCTTGCCGTCGACAAAAATTTGGATGCGCACTCGTCGAAGCTCATTCTCCCACTTCCATATCTCTGGTTATAGGTTATAGTGTTCCTTGGTTTAATGGCCACAACTGCCAGAGCTATCCAAGAAAAATCTTCTTCTTTTTGAAATTTTTATCCTTCTCTCACTATGGCCTTATGGGTTTAAAAAAAATAGTACCTACAGACAGGGTTCGGAAGTAGTTAATTTACCTCATTAACTACGTGTAGTTTTTCTTCAAAAACTACGTCTTTTCCCCTTCATTAACTACATGAAAACTACGTTAATAAACTATGTATTGATATTATGAATAATTTTCCTTTGTATGAGGTGTAATAGAGATAATATGATGTAAATATTATTATTTACATCATATTATATCTCTATTACACCTCATACAAAGGAAAATTATTCATAATATCAATACTTTAAATATAAATTTAAAGCCATATTTCTTCTGTTTTCTTAAATACATTATGTGTTTTTAAAGCTTCAACTTATTATAACCTCACCTCAAATCTTTGATATTTGAAAGTTATATGCATAGGTTACATAAACTATACCCTCTACATAAACTACATTAACTACATGTAATGTAGTTTATGTAGTAAAAGTAACATGTAGCTTTCCGAACCCTACCTACAGATTAACATGTAATTGATAAATAGTCCAGGGACGGACTAAGGCTATAAATCTCTGTTAAGTTTGCGGTTTGTTTCTTTAATCATTAAAGTTTGTTTTTCAAACAATATTATACAGGGTGTTTCAAAAAATATGTGCCTTCTCTCGTGGGGAGATTCGATCCTCACATAAAAAATAAGATTTATTTTTCATATCAACATAGGCCCGATTCTGCTTTGTTTCGTAGCCACAGGGTGTTAAAATCTTAATAATCTTTCGATTTATTATAATTTTCTTCCAAGTACTTTTAGTGATTCGAATGAAATTTTGAGGGTAAAAGTTGCTATAAGTGCTACATATTTTAATGCGAAAAAAGTGTCGATAAATTTATCAGGTTCATGCATATGGGATATAGGCAGGGTTCGAAAAACTACATGTTACTTTTATAAACTACATTTACTACATTACATGTAGTTAATATAATTTATGTAGAGGGTGTAGTTTATGTAACCTATGTATGTAACTTTCAAATATCAAAGGTTTGAGGTGAGGTTATAATAAGTTGAAGCTTTAAAAACACATAATGTATTTAAGAAAACAGAAGAAATATGGCTTTAAATATAATATTTACATCATATTATCTCGATAAATTCTATTACGCCTCATACAAAGGAAAATTATTCATAATATCAATACATAGTTTATTAACGTAGTTTTTATGTAGTTAATGAACGGGAAAAGACGTAGTTTTTGAAGAAAAACTACACGTAGTTAATCAGGTAAATTACGTCTTAATTAACTACTTCCGAACCCTGGATATAGGTTATCACTGGACTATTTTCCAATAAAAAAACATGTGCGACATGTTTTTTTTTTGGCTCCTTTTTTATATCAAAATTGTGTAGGCCGTTTAATGCCAATTAAAAGTTATCTCTTATTTATTAATCACAATAAAATTAATAAATTATATATTTTACCTAATTTATTATTAAATATTATTACTATTAGTTATTATTACTATTAGTTCAACATACAGCAATTTGAAATAAAAAACTAATGGTATTTAAAATACATAATTACAAAAAACCTATTTTTAAAAAGTTTTAACATCCTGTAACTCTAAAACTATGCATATTTTCATATTTTTTTTTATAAAGAATCAATGAGTACGTATTTAAAACTTTCGCAAGTTAATGATAAAACTTTTTAAAGGTTGCTATTAGACTTGGATCAGACTTGGGTCAAGGCAAATTAATAAAATTACGTTTATCTCATCAATGAGGCCGAAATCAACAAAATATTAACAGTCAAGTTTTAATCGGCTTAGACTATTTCGCTAACAAGAGAAAAAAAAGTCAGTGGCGTACATGCTTTTTTTAGAAAAATATTCTATTGATAACCCATATGCACGTCCCTGGTGAATATGTCGATACTTTTTTAGCTTTAAAATATGTCGCTTTTATAGTAACTTTTATTTTAAATTAAATTTTAGTTAATAATAGGAAAATTAAAAATTCGAGTGTTCTCAAAAACAAAGAATTTCCGCGGCAAAAATCAAATTATGTAGCGCTAGTTTTCTTGTATAGAATCATCCTATAAACCGATATTTATGTAACTGATTTCGGCTAAACGAAACTTGAGCCCAAAGCAGAATCGGACCTATGTCGATATGAAAAAAAAATCTAATTTTTACGTGAGGAATCTCGGCACATGCTTTTTAAACACCCTGTATAAAACTTATTAAGCATTTTTTGTAAATTTATCTTTCAGTGGCGAAATTAGCCCGGCTTTTTCCAAGCGATTCACAGACGGAGGTTTCTAAAATTTATTTTTATATAAACTCGTATACAAAGACGCGCGGGCACTTTAAAGTTAAAGAAATTAAGTCTTCAATTAAAATGGAGAGGAAAATTAAACGGAGAAAAGAGTGAAGCGTCGACGCAAATACTACACCTAACTGAAAAAGGCCAAATTATGGCTCGACAGTATAGTAGTAATAAAAACATACTTCCAATCTCATTACTTGGGAATAAAAGGGGCTCCCGGAAGAAATAATTTGGTCCGCGTCAGCTGCCTCGCCACTTAACGCCCTCGCGCTAGATCCGCTCCGCAGGGCGTAGAATATGGGGAAAGGCTGAAAATTTCCATTTTTACTAAAGCCACTTTCTACACAGAAAATCTTTAAATAAATAGTATTTTAAATAGTCTAATGTAAATCAAACTCTGACAAAAGAAACAATATTATTTCTCCGATTGTTTTTTTTATTGTTCAATATACAGTGTGGTCCGAATTTAAATCGAGAAAACTCCGTATAACTCAGTATATCATGCAGATAAAAATAAGTAAAAAAGTCCGTATAAATATAGTTGAATCATGAAATCAACAAGTGTCCCGCTTTTGGAAGAGAGTGCAATTTCTGTAAAATTAAGAACCATTTTTCTAATATGTGCAGGAAAAAGAAGCAAAGTAACAAAAACAATAAAGTGAATGAAATTCAAAACACAGAACAAATTAATGTTGTAAATAAAATTAATGATAATTTTCATTTTATAGGATCTGTAGAAGTAAATGAAATTAATAATAATTGATGGTTCTCTGTACTGGAAATAAACAAAAAAGAAATTAAATTAAAGATTGACACAGGAGCACAGGCAAACATTACCGTTAAAACTATACAACAGTTTGGGTATAAAAAGTAATTTAAGACGAGCACAAGTAGCATTAACTTCATATACAGGTAATAATTTGAAAATTGTTGGTAAATGCTATATTCCTTGTAAAAAGGATGATAAAACCTTTAATTTAGAATTTTATATAGTTGATTCAAATACTCAGGCTATTTTCTAGTCTGGAACTAAATTTAATTAAAAGAATAGATTCTCTAACAAAAAATTGTCAGTATAATGCCTTAATAAATGAATTTAGCGAGCTATTTGAGGGTATAGGTTATACTACTGTTAAAATATTAAAATCTGTCTTTGCCAGGCATGGCATTCCTCTAACGGTTGTGACAGATGGAGGACCACAGTTTTCTTCAGATTTGTTTCAGGCTTTTGCTCAGGAATGGGAATTTGATCATGCTCACTCGAAGTATTTGAAGATAAAAAAGATATTTATTTAGCTCTTCTTTTATATCGTAATATGCAAATTCATGGAGCTTATTCTCCAGCTCAAATTCTAATGTCCAGAAAACTCAGATGTATTATTAAGTTAATTGATACAAATAAATACAATAAATCTTTACAAGATACTCAGGTTAAGCAACAAATTGTGTTAAACAACAAAAGTATTATAATAAAAAAGGAGTCTTGAATTTAAAACCTATCGAAGTTGGTTCACATGTGTATGTACAGGTTGAACCTAATTCTAGTTGGTCTCCGGCTTTAGTTTTAGAAAAAGTTAGGAATAGAATGTATAGAGTTCAACTTACTAATGGTTCAGTCTTGTTAAGAAATCGGAAGTTTATTAAGCCTGTAGATAAAGGAAAATCTGTAATACCTGTTAGACCAACTACATCTATATTTGTACAAAATAATATTCAATACTTTATAGAGTTAGAACCAGATTGTGACTTAAATAATAGGGGTGAAGGTAGAAATTATAATGTTCAGGAGGAGACTAATGTAAATACAAGGAAAAGTGAGGATGATAATAGTGTAGAGACACGAAATGAGATATCGGTAGATAGAAGTCATGTTATGAGCGAAAACGAACTAGATCTTGATAATTCTGATAGTAATAGTTTTGTATCAGATACAAACTCAGATTATGAGCTTAAATATTTATATCCAGAAAAAACGATATCAGGTCGTTTAGTAGTGAAACCTCATAAACTGAATTTGTAGACAGTTTGTTTATTTTTAAATGTTACTACGTTGTGTATTTAAAAAGTATGTTAAGTTTAATTTAAAGAAAGGGGATGTGGGGTAGGCAACCACAGATACATTATGTAATTACGAAATAGCTTTTATATTATCTGTGGAAGTTAGTAGAGATAGGCGGTTATTGGTAAAAAACCGGTTATAGGTTAACCGGAATTATCTTTAAAAAATAATAACTTGACAAAATTAACCGACACAAATTAACCGGTTATTCAAATAACCTAACCTAGCAAAACTAAATATTTAGTTTTCCTATAGGTTTACTTGGTTTACTTACCTCCACACTCCATAGGTCTACTTCAAATTTAGATAATAAACTTAGTTATAGTTAAATAGAGAGTGTAGCAATGTAAATATGTATATGTACAAAATGAATTTAAATAAAAATGCTAACCTCACTTTTTTGAGTAGACATGTATATGATATTAAAACTAGTAATTACTTAACGTTCAAATAAACCACACAACTCACAAGTTCTACAATCTACAACCAAGTTATTTTAATCAAATACCAAAAAAAAAATAAGGAGACTGAATGAATAGATAATGAAAGATTATCTTCATTCATTACTTGAACTTCAATTTTGTATTCTTTAGTCTAAGCTTCAAGAGAGACTTCAAACTACAAATAAAATATATTTACGGTGAAACGTGGGTGAAACTAGGCGAAACCATGGAAAACTTTTGAAGAACCGTTGAAAATCCGTTAAAGTGGGTTAAAATTTAAATATAGAATTTAGAGAATCTATTTGAAGTTAGGTTTGTATCACTTGGCTAGCTGGTGGCTAGTAGTAGTCTATGCCATTAGTACTTTGTTTTACGGCCTGACCTGTCAGGGCCATTCGGCTGTTGTTTTGATTATTATCATCAGGTTTCGCCTGATGCCTGATTTAATTTTGACATTTGATGTTTGATGTCATATATTTTCGTTTTGGGAGCCGGAGCGGGATCTCCCGTTATCGTCGTAATATCTGGAAGATCCGTGCCGTTCGCTCCTTCGAAATTTACGATTCAAACAGCTAATATTTAATTGTTACTTGTTTTAAACAAGTACGATTTTTTTAAAAATAACCGGCTATAAGTTATTGACCGTAATGCAAGGTTATTAGGTTAACTGGTGAAAAAAAAAACTACCTTTAAATAACCGGTTATTTTAGAGGAAAATACCGGTTATTCAAAAAACCGGTTACTTTTGCCCATCTCTAGAAGTTAGTTGTTGTAAAGTAATGAACATGGCGGGCTTACAGAGCTGCATGTTAAATAAATAAGAAGTTTATAACTTCGGGAATAATATTGTGTTTTACTAAATACTAAAGAAAACATAACGTTACGGAAGTTCCATTTTTATTTCGATTTTTTCCAAATAATTTCTGAAGCAACGTCAATATTTGGATGAAAATTGGCCTCTGGGAGTTTTTCGACATGAGAAATTTGATTATTTGAAATTATTTGGAAAAAATCGAAACAAAAATAAAATTTCTACACCCTGTATCTCCGAAACTAAGCATTTTAAGACATACGTTTATAGGAATATTTTTACTTATTTTTATCTGCAGAATATGCTGCCGAAGTTTCCGGAAAACAGTTCGAACCACCCTGTATATTACTGCACATCAATTCCAAGACCAATTTATGATATACAAAAATTTGAAAAAAAATGTCTGTATGTGTTTTGTTTCATAATAGGCTCATATCTCGCTTGTTCTAAAATTGTTTGTTCCGCCACTGAGCTCAATCAGTCTCCACGGTGTTACCGAATACTCTCGGAACAAGGGGCTGTTGTCTTATCGCTCGTTATGACAAAAGCCTTGATGGCACTTGACTACATACCGATTTCGAGCCATTGTGTTCGGCGCTATAAGAATATGAGTCTGACACCGCCACTCTCGCTCTTATTTTCCTTCGGAGATGGATGATGATTGTAGAGATCCAATCTTCCCCCTTTCATATCCGTTTAAAATATAATGCCTAATATATTCGTTATTTATTCAGCATAATAACTAGGGATTGCAAATTTACCGACTTTTCAGTTTCGGAGATAAAGCAGAAATCGATCGGACCTTTTTTAAAAAAAAATATTTTTTTACTAAGCAACAACTCTTGGAGACACGGGTTTCTACAAATGTTTTTATACATACATATTATTGGGGAAATGAATTTGTACACATAGTTAGATATTTTATGAAATAATTTGAGATTAGAAATACTTCTTTTTATGAATTTATATTTTGAAAATAAAAATGGTATTCCACACCTATTACCCGAAATTACTATAATATTTTAACTAACCAAAATCCCTTTGAATAAGAAGACTAAGGAAGGAGCATATCAAAAATCTTAGGTACACCGCGATGGGCCTCAAATATGGCCGACTTAAATTCCGGTTTATCAGTGTCGTTCTAATTTTATTTAAAAAATGTAAAACTATGATGTAGGGTAGACGTGGGGTAGACTCAATAATTTGTTGTTTTATTTTACGTTGTGAATAAATGTTGGTAGTTATTAAAATTGTTATAAAAATATATAATTCTAATAAAAATAGATAAGTTATAATAAGTATTTATTAACACAAACATCCGATACGCTACTGAAGCAGGTAAGTCAAATTAACGTATCTAAATTCTTTGACATCTAATCTTTGACAAGTAATAAATAAAAGCTAAAATGCAAGAAAAATATATAATTTAGTTAATTTAAGTGAATTTCATAAATGATCGGTTTACTACACGTATGTATATTATATAGTCACTTACTAGCGAAAAGTTGTTCCATTATTTCACTCAATTTTTGCCGAGATCTACCGCACGTTACACAACCAACTATTTTAGAGTCTTTTTCGATAAATCGCGATAGTGTCACTGTTAATTTAAGTTCTGCCACAATTTCCATCTGGATTTACTACCTGTATACAACTATCAGTAGTAGAATAAATAATAAATAACATAAAATAAGCTCCGCAAAGACTGACAAATCCACAAAATTTCAAATCAAATTCAAATGTGTCAAATGAATCGTCAAACAGAACTGTCAAGGATCCCTACCCTAGAGAGCTTTTATGGTGGCTTTTCCGCCCACCATGCATGAATACATGGATAGCATTATGCTCCTTCCTTAGTCTTCTTATTCAAAGCAAAATCCCTTTACTGGGACTTTCGTGTTCTCATTAAGAATATTCCATCAAAAAAAATTTCAATATAAAACTACATTTAAACTGCATATAATTCGGTTGCGTTCTGGTAAATACGAGAATAACTGTGTGGTGCGGGTACTATTATACACCATAATAGTAAAAATATTTTGAAAGCGTCTACGCTAAATAGGAACCTATAGTTGAAAATAGGTTCGAGATTGACGAACATTGTAGTGCCAGGTTGTCGACAAAGACGTTGTGTGCGTATTTAGGGCTCGTCGTGGGCACAATGGAGGGCCACCGCGTTACGCCCAGTAGCCCCATATCGATTACACGCAGCTTAAGGACACAATCGTTAATCCCTTGTTTGCCGAAGGAACTGTCTGTCGGGTAGGTAGAGGGACCTCACACGAATAGAACCAAAATTGCATTTTAATATTTCTACTGTGAGTATCTACAAGTTCTAAGCTTGACCGGCACAGTGTTCCCCACTTTTATATCTTTTCTTTTAGTCAAAATAGTTTAGGAATCAAAAATAAATTAATTATAAATATATACTTAAACACTTATTATTTACATCAAGAAAACTCACTTTCTTAACAGCACTTAAGGGATATAAAGGGTTATTACTACCGCTTTCCCGTTCAAAATATTCTAATAAAATTTCGATGAGTTTTTTACGGCTATTAAGTTATCTTGTACCACTTCGCACTAAAAGAGGTTCTAAAAAGAACAATGTTCGACTGCTAGTAAACATTTTTAGGAAAGTATCACATAACTATTTATTTAAACCAAAAACTTAATGGATGACAATGTCAGGAAATAAATAAATAAATGCGGCAACAAAACGCTACAAGATTTTGGTCGAACCACTAATAAAAAATATCTTTCCTAAATTTTAACAAATTTATATTATGTTTAAAGGACAATTCACTAAACAGAGATAGAAACCACATAAAAATACATTAATAAAAAACGACTATACACTATCTTTTATTGACAAAACATTAAACGAAATACAAACCCCAAGTCATAGAAAGAATACACACAATGATAACAAAACACAATATATATACAACATACAATTCCATACATACGTAGCGTTTCGGAAAAAATAAGAAGGATAGGAAAATAATACAGGGTTGTTTTAAAATTGTAGGCTTAAGAAACCAGATAAAATTTCGAAAAAAAATTTGACCCTAAATCAAATGATGATACTGAAAAATTATTTGGAAAAGCGGAAAGGGTAGTTTCTGCAAGGGTAGGAGGTTGTTTTGTGAATAACTATTTTGAGGTTATTTATTTTGCAACGTGGGTTCATTTTTTGAAAACTACATACTTATTCCTACAAAAAAGGTACTCTTGTTGCACATCGCCTAGAGTGATGGTTTTCGAGAAAATTGAAGATAAAGAGTTTGCTCCGATGGGTTGCTAACTGGTTAATCAACATAAACTTATGAAAGTTACGGAGTTTCGAAAGTAACCAAGTAGTTATCAAATAAATAATTGAAAAATCAAAATTTCATGATTTTTCAAACATCATATTGCTTTAAAAAACGAAATAATCCAATTACCAAAATTCCTTATTAAAATAATGCATTCCTTAATTCATTCACAGTAAATGTTCAAAGTGACCACCATTCATTTCAATGTAGACATCTGATCATCTTCTCCACGATCTGCGTACCCTGTGGAATATCCTTGGTGTTGTCCGAATTTGATTGGAACCATAGACTTAAAATAAAATATAGACTGAGCATCTCATTCATAAATAGCTGGAACATGCGGTCAGACACTGTCTTGTTATTGTTGTGTTATTGTTTTAGGTTATAACGAGTGCGACACGAGCGATAGATAGGTTGTCTCTGTCGTAACGGTCGTTCCCTGACGACTCTGCCGAGAAACACAACACTGTCTTTCGTTTCTCAAGTACACCTGAACTCTCCGTATCATAGCCGGGTAATTTTTTTATTTTAATGAAGCTATAATTAAATTAAAAATATATCGTATTTAAACTTTTTTATATTTTATTAAGATTTAGGACAGGTTTTTTAAATAAAAGTTTAGAAAAAACAATTTAGAGTCCAAAAAGGATAAAAATAATAAAATACACGTTATATACACGACCCGGTATATTAAAAAATATTGTTTCATAATGTAATATCATTTTAAAATTCTTGTATGTTATTTTAGATTCTGAAGATAATTTTAGAATAAACCGGAATATATTTTTAATAAAAACATTATTAATTATTAACAGGGTTATAATTATGATTTTGTTACAATGTAAGTAAGTAAATAATGTAATGTAAGAGAAAAAATTCAGATTTTACATTTTACTAAAATATTATCTAAATAAGCGCCTTTCTACAACAACGCCACTGACTCCCAATGGGTAAATTGAGAGTTGCCTACCGGTCAAAAGTCGTTTCAAGACTTAAATGGATTATTTAAGTCAAATTTCTTGCAAATTTGGCACTGGCGAACCATATTTTATAGTTCTTGAACAGAAAAAGTCAATAAAATAAACACTTAAGCACTACAAGCTAAGAAAATGCGTTAATACAGCCGGGGAGATAGCGGCAACAAAGCTTTACCGCACACGTGCGACACGTACTACAAGGTAATAAATGAATGAATAGGCTCCCTCGCCTCTAATCGGTGTTGTCATATTGTAAAGAACTTATCCTTTTTAAACAGTATCCGACTTATAATTTAGTAGTATAAGGACTATTTAATACATCTCTGGAATATTAAAACCTACTTTATTAACTGTAGTATTAATATCTCAATATATGTGTATAACAAGAAAAAAAATATTGATAATATTAAAGACGTGACAACATAGGCTGGATGAGGAAGGCTCGGTCGACTGTACCCAGAAGTAAACATGTGTACAAAAAAGGTTGTTTGTCCGCGTTGAGATGTAAATAGTGTAGTCTATATTTTATTTTAAGTCTATGATTGGAACAGTCAATAATGCGTTGCCGTAGTTGCTCTTCAGTATTAGTCGGCACTGAGTAAACAAATTTTTTTTAAAACTAAAAAAGTTAAAAAACGGGATAAAAAAATATAGTCTAAGCTTTTGAATAGATTCCGCATAAGCTTGAATTTTCGAAAACACAACAATGTAATTTTTAAAAATGACATTCTTAAAAATGATATTCAAATAATACAAGATTCCATACTTAGAGGGAACATATAAACGTATTCGCTCAAAAATAAACTTGTCAATAAACCTCCCATATTTATTCATAAGCCATACGAGTCTAATTTCTCCCAACGACCCACAAATCGATAAAGATATCCAGATCTTGTTTGCGACAAATTCGATTTGAAACTGCATTGTACCGTAGTGGATATTATAAAGAGTGCACGCACACACCAGATGTAGATGCCGAGATTGAACCAAGGGTTGAAACTAATCCCGCCCCTAATCCGCACGCTAGATTAGCCCCATTCAATAAATAACATCACGGCCATATTCTTTCTAATCGCTGCGTTTGACAGTTTAACGTTAGCGTTGACGTAGGTCCGGTACGGTTTCATTTCCATCATGAAAGGATCTAGCTATAATCTCAAAATTAGGTTAATACAATATGCGAATTCCTATTGACGATTGATCAAATCGGTGTAAGAAATTATGAAGCTATAAAATGTTGTTTCGGGAGAGTTGAATATCCGGGAAAGTTGAGTTATTGAATGTTGTTGCACCCAACAACGCCCTAATTACGCTCTCCTTTACGCGTTAACATTTTAGGGCAATTTTATTAACGTTTGAAATTGTTACAACACAACAAGACGCCCAGTTCGAATTCTTTTTCGCATATTTTTTACTTCCCGAAACAGCTAGCCTAAGAGCTGACGACATATTTAGAGAACATATTTTAGGCAAGCTAGAATAACTAAAAATGTATAGTTTATTAACTGGTGAACCCTGAATCCTAAGTCTGGCTGGGGGGTTGGGGGTATTTTGCTACTACGCAACCCATAACATTTGCAAAAAAATAAATCCAAAAAATTGAAATTTGTTTATTCTTAAATTTTAGCATCTATTTAACCTAGAAATAAGCATGCCAGACTTTTTTTTCGGGTTTAAAGTGTAACCCGACCATTCCAAATATGTTTCATTATTATACCTGGAAAACATACTTTAGGCATTCTGAAATTTTTACAGCGTGTTTATTACATGATATTAAAAAATATGTGTTAATTGCCAGACGAATTCAATGGGATTTAATACTTGCCAGACGCGAATAAAGATTTTAAATAAGCCCGATAAGAAAGTCTTATGAGTATCTATAAGCGCGAGGAAGATAGTTTATTGAGACCCTGTCAGCAGCCGATGCGGCTGACGTAACAGCATTTTGGAGTTGTAAAAACTTAAAAAAAACTAATATTGAAAAATAAAAAGAAACATTTTTTAATAAAAATGTATGATTGAAATCCTTTCAATAAGAAGACTTTTCAATTTAAGTATTTTGTATCTGAAAGAAAAAAAAGACGAATAATTATTTAGAAATTAGCATAATATAAAATATATTTTTTTTGAAACGTCATAAAAGTATAATTATTATTATACTTTTGTGACATATTATATTATTATTAATTTTTGCGACCTGATTGAGACAATATAAAAAAGTCATTTTAATGCCTAAGCATAAAAGTAAAGCACTTTTACTTACTTTTGAATCTATTTAGAAAGATTAACAATGGTACTTTAATAAAATTCCAGATTACTTATTTTTTTAGCACTGTACAGTTGAACAAATATAGGAAGAGACTTGGGGATAGCACCGGTCGCGTGTTATTTTATATTTCTCATGTCTCTAGCTATACTTGTTAAGTTGTATATGGTACCTTTTTTTCGGGACTACGTTTTCTGGTAAAACCACTTCTTTAAATTTTAAACCATGTTGTTGGCGCACTTTTAAAAATTCTTTGCATTTTTGTAGTCTATAACTTTGTCACTATAGTAACTTTTTTACGAACTACACAACTTAAATGTTTTTTATCCATTGTGATTTAGTAGTTAGTACCGAAATTAGTAGTTGCTAAAATATTTATTTGCAGTAAGTATTCTAAACTATTTACACTATGCACGTCAATATTTAATTTATAAATACATATTTGTACATGGTAACTTAATTCCAACAAAATAATCTCTGAATTAAAAGCCTGCAAATAACTGAAATAAAACCGAAAAAAAATTGTTTTTATGAAAATTTGGAGTACTCCAAAATTCTGTTACGTCAGCCGCATCGGCTGCCGACGGGTCTCAATAAACTATCTTTCTCGCGCTTATAGATACTCATAAGACTTTT